TGTCTACAGCGAGGAGGTGAATGCACGCCACGATCTTCTCGTCGGCCAGCCCTTTATCCAGCACTGGAATACGCGGCTCGACTTCTCTCGCGCCGGGCTCATGACAATGAACCTCTGGATCGAAGCCGATCGCGGACGCGCCGACCCGACGATCACGGTTGTGCTGGCTCGTCCAAACAACCAGCGCAATCACACAACCCTCCTCGGCGCCGCTGCAGCATCCGCATCAAGCTCTTCCGCATCTGCTGAAAACCCCAAACCCGTAGCGTCACCCTGGACGCTTCGCAATCTCCGTGAGCTCTCCCAAAACCCGTCTCGTATTTATTCTTCGTCTGCAGGCCGCAGATACAAGCCCGTCGACCGCAAACACCGCCCTGTACCCACCTACTATCCTAATCCAACTGCGCAACAGTTCAAGCCCCTCCCGATACCCGAGCTCCAACCGCTCACGCACTTCCCGCCTCCTCGTGCCGACTTTCCTTATACCGACCGCATTACGCCTGAACGCCTCGACATGCTTCTATCGAAGGTGGCACCCGACTTCCTTTCCGACCAAGAGCTGGATCTAGTGGCGCTCGTAGTCAGCCATCACCAACGGGCCTTCGCGTTCGAGTACGCGGAGAAAGGTACGTTCTCCCGTGAGTACTTCCCCGAGTACGAAATCGCCACGATAGAGCACACCCCATGGCAACAAGCGCCCATACGAGTCCCCAAGGCCTTGGAGAATGCGGTGCGCACGGAGATTCTAGACCAGGAAGCTAACGGCCGTTTCGAGATGACCACTTCTAGCTACCGCAGCGCGATCTTCGCCGTGGAGAAGAAGAACAAGGGTGTACGCCTCGTTTTAGACTTGCAGCGCCTCAACGGTGTCACTATCCGTGATGCTGGCCTCCCGCCTCGCATGGACGACTTCGCTGAGAGCTTTGTGGGCTATGCCATCTACGCCGTACTCGACTTGTACTCTGGCTTCGACGCGGTACCTCTAGCGGCACGGTCACGTCCCATGACCGCCTTCCACTCCATCATCGGACCGCGCCAGCAAACGACCCTGCCTCAAGGTGCCACCAACTCGCCTACTGCTTTTCAACAGCGGATGGAGCACACACTCATCCGCATGAGCTCAGCGGACAAGGCAAGGCCGTTCTTCGACGATTGCGGTGTCAAGGGTCCACGGACCACCTACAACAACGAATCGCTCGCGGACAACCCCAACATACGGCGGTTCGTGTTCGAGTTCTGCGAGACTCTCGCAGAATTCCTCGCTACGTTGATTCTGGCCGGTGTAACCGCTTCGGGTATGAAGTCTACGCTCGCTACACCACTCCTGGATATCGTCGGAACCCTTGTCTCTCTTTCCGGCTGGCAACTCCACCATGGCATCGTCAACAAGGTTCTGAAATGGTCAGAGCCCGCTGATCGCTCTGAGCTACGCGGCTTCCTCGGAACAACAGGATGTGGACGCCGCTGGATCCGCAACTATTCCCTCGTCGCAAAGCCACTCACGATCCTTTTACGCGGTAACGAGGCTGACTACTTCTTCGGCGACGATGCGCGCGCGGCCATGCTCAAGCTTAAGAAACTCGTCACACATGCTCCCGTACTGGTGCGTATTGATTATGAACTTGCCGCCACTCACAGCCGTCTAGATCGCCCTTCCGAGCATGGTCTGATCATTGTAGCGGTTGATGCATCTCTCTACGGTGCGGGATGGGTCTTATATCAAGTTCTCATCAAGCCTCCGCTCGACACCGTCATTACCGGCACCACGTCGTCTGCTCCCAAGCAGGCTCGCGAGCGCATCGAACGCCACCCGGCTATCTTTGGCAGCCGTACATTCAACGCAGTCGAAGCACGTTACTCACAACCCAAGTGCGAGCTTTACGGCGTCTTCCGGGCTGTCAAGGACCTCCGCCACCGCATCTATGGTGTCTTTTTCATGCTTGAAGTAGACGCTAAGTCCCTGATCGAGATGCTGCGTCGACCAGACCTACCAGGCGCATCGGAGACCCGCTGGATATCCTACATCCAGACCTTCGATTTCGATGTTCGCCACGTACCTGCGAGTGCTCATGAAGCTCAAGATGGCCTCTCCCGCCGTCGGCCAGCGCCTGATGACAGTTCCGAGTCGGAAGGTGATCAAGATGCCTTTATCGATCATGTTCTCGACGCCCTGTACGCCCGTCATGAGTCCGACTGGAGCGTGTCCTCTGCGGTTCAGGCCGATCGGTACCCCTCGGCCTATGGCTCTTATCAGTGCGTCGTCCCGCCGCCGCTCTTCTGCTCACCTCTACCGCATCAGGTCATCCCGGCTTCTCTCTTCCAGCCCCTCTTCGCCAGCTTTGTTGCACGAGGACGTGCCGCCGCTACCGCTTCTCCATCCCGTCTCGCTATGGACCCCGACAAGCTGCGCCCGCATGAACTCCTACCTCGCACTGGGCTCCCGATGCCGGGCGATGCCCGTATTGAGCGCATAGACGACTTCGACTTTTCTCCGGGCACGCTACTCACATACACGCTCTCGCGAGCTACGGACGACCGCCTCTACAAGCCCGAACTCAAGTTCACGCGCAAGGTCAGCAACGGACCGTCTGTGGACCCGCCCAGCTGCCCCGATCATCATTGTGGCCCTTCGGTCTCAGGCTGCGGCGACATCTCCGCGGTCTTCAACGTCAGACACGCTGCCATCGAATGGGCGCCGGACTACTCGTATTATTCCACGGACGACTATCTCTCATCGGCCTTCCAACGCGAGCAAGAGGATCCCTTGGACGATGAGCTACCCCGTCTCTACACCCTGTATATGGACCTCGACGAGCGCAACGATGTTCTAGGTGCGCCGCCGGGTTTCTTTTCCTCTACCCAAGCCTACGATCATCCGTTCTATGACGCGATGCGCGCACGCGGGGAAGAACCGGCGCTATTTGAGTTCTGCCCCGCTCTTCCAATGCCGGTTCTGCTCAATCCCGTATTCGAGAACCGTGGCGCTAATACGCGTGGCTTCATATCGTGCATCG